GTAGTAATGGGAGTAGTAGTAGTAGTGGTAGGGTAGATGGGAGGAGTTAGTAGTAGTAGTAGTAATGGGAGGAGTAGTAGTGGTAGTAGTAGGAGGAGGTAGTAGTAGTGGTGTAGTAATGGGAGGGTGGTGGTAGTAGTAGTAGTAATAGGAGGAGGGTAGTAGTAGTAGTAGTAGTAGTAGTAATAGGAGGAGGAGTAGTAGTAGTAATAGGAGGAGGAGGAGTAGTAGTAGTAGTAATAGGAGGAGGAGGAGGTAGTAGTAGTAGTAATAGGAGGAGGAGTAGTAGTAGTAGTAGTAGTAATAGGAGGAGGAGTAGTAGTAGTAGTAATAGGAGGAGGAGTAGTAGTAGTAGTAGTAGTAGTAGTAGGAGGAGTAGTAGTGGTAGTAATAGGGAGGAGTAGTAGTAGTAGTTGTAGTAATAGGAGTAGTGAGTAGTAGTAGTAATAGGAGGTAGTAGTAGTAGTAGTAGTAATAGGAGGTGGTAGTAGTAGTAATAGGAGGAAGGTGGTGCGTAGTAGTAATAGAGATAATAGTAATGGGAGGTAGTACTAATAGTATAGGAGGAGGAGTGGTACTAATAGTAATAGGAGGAGGTAGTAGTAGTAGTAGTAGTAGTAGGAGGAGGAGTAGTAGTAGTAGTAATAGGAGGAGGAGTAGTAGTAATAGTAATAGGAGGAGGAGTAGTAGTAATAGTAATAGGAGGAGGAGTAGTACTAATAGTAATAGGAGGAGGAGTAGTAGTAATAGTAATAGGAGGAGGAGTAGTAGTAATAGTAATAGGAGGAGGAGTAGTACTAATAGTAATAGGAGGAGGAGTAGTACTCTCCCTCTCATGATAAGCAGAATGATGTGAAATGGTGTTCTTTTTAACTGATGTCCTCTTTCTCCTCTCCCTGTAGGGAAGTGTAGAATCAGCCACTTCGTCACTCCGCCAGCAGCACCACTTTCAGCCTGATGGGACTGACTTGCTTGCCACATGAATGCACTCTAACCAACGAGCAGAACTCATGAGCTTTTTGCACTTTTAAATAATACACGTAGCTTTAATAAGGGGAGGAGTTAAGCTTTAGGAGCCAAAAAAAAAAGAAAAAAAAAAAAAAGATCTTGAGCAAGATGCAGAACCTGAGAAAAGTTCCAGCCCTGGTTTGGTCCATTTGTGCACTTGGACCCGATCATTAGAGGAGGAAAGGACGGAGAGGAAGCTGAACAAGTCAAATCATAGCATGTGGTTAAATAATGGCACCCTGGAGTTCGAGAAATGTAAATTCACTGTTCATGTGAGGCATTTCAAAAGAGTTCAAAGGCACACATATCTCTCAATCACTTTTTTTATTTTAATTTTTTTCAATCTTGATGCATTGTTCTCCAATATTCAAAAAAAAAAATAAAAATACCTCTGATTTGTGCCCTCGCCTTCCATTTCAGACTATCCTGATGCCTTTCCTGGTCACATGCTTCTCTCAGTGCTTATAATGCTTGCTATGGCAACAAGTGTTCCTCCAGCTGCCAGATATATGTTAGGAAAAGAGAAGGCCATACGGAAAGAGGTTTGTCTCTATGACGAAAAAGCAAAACCAAACATTTGAGAAATCTGTTCACACATTCAGTGTTTTGCTTTTTGTGTGTGTTTGTGAACATTAACGCGAGTGTGTGAGGTTGACTGTGAACATGTAATGCCATCAAGGGTGTGTGTGTGTGGTTTATGTAAATTATGACCTTAAATACACACTGAAACCATAAATAACTATTTGAAGATGGCACGATAAATGACTAAAACACGTGGACCAGTATTAACGGTAAAGCAGCAGTGATTGCTTATTCAGTGTGTCTGTGTGTGTGTGTGTGTACGTTATAATCAATACGGTCTCATTATCTCTGCCAAGTTAATACGCGAGAGGAGCTTCTTGCTCTTTAGTATCAACGATATGAGCGGAACTGAAACTAGAGATCGTCGGGAATTCCATACGCAATACATGGAGAGTGACGGGCGAATTTCTTTATTCTTGATTAAACTTAATGTCATGAGTTGTTTTTGGTTTTTTTTTTTGCTTTAAGACTGAAGGGCGTGGTCAGGTTTTACGTTTTGAACTAACTGGGAGAAAGGTCCCCAGAAAGGCTTTACTCTCCAAGCTCTGTAACACTGCGATGTTCTCGACATGCATCTCCCACTCGTCTCGGATCAGCGTCGTACGGTTTAGTTTTTGGATTTGACGGAGAATCGCCTGATCGCAGATCAGCACTTATTAGGAACCACTTTTGGGCTTTTTGGAGCTAATTCAAGACACTGAACAGTATAATAACAGTATTTGGGTTTAGACTGAATTACCTGGTTTCTGCAAACCTCATGTTAACATAAGGGTTATTTATGGAAATAATGAACAAATGGCCGTTTACTAAACCAAATCCTTATAAATGTACTATTTGTAAATTTGCCCAAAAATTAATATTGTGCATTAAATGTTTACTTCTTAGTTGTTGTTTTTTTTTTTTTGTTGTTGTTGTTTTTGTTCATAATATTTATTAAGCTTGCTTTGTTTTTATATACGAAACATGGTTTGTAAATGTACTGTTTATTTCATGACTATTTTTTGTTGTTGTTGTTTTTCAGGTTTAATTTGTTAAATTGTCATTTGTTTAATTAAGAGGTTAATCTGCTGAGAACCAAAATAACCTTGTTCCCAGGGTTGGGGAAATGGTCTTGTGTGTAATAAAAAGGCATCTGATCTTATTTTCAGCTTTGGTTGGTTGATTTAGTTATTTATTTCTTTTTGTAATGTTATGCATGTTCAATAAAATAAATAAAAAATCTCAGGAGCCATGGCAACTGATCGACTTCCACTATGTCATTGCCAGTGCTGAGACGGAATCTCATTTCCTGCAATAATTAAAGAATATTTCCCCTCTCTCTCTCTTTAAGTAACACGTTCAAAAGAGGACCAGTGGTCTCTCTGAAGCCTATAGCAACATCCCAAATACTTTGATCAATCTTAGGACTTTGCTGTGTAATATAAACACTCCATTCTAAACATTTAGATGGGAAACGTGTATAAATGCCCATATTTGGATGATCACCTGCTCCCATGGTTTATGTCTGACCTCCTCATGTGTTGATAACCAATCTACCTTCTACATGGTGTGTGTGACAGGGAACGGAACTAAATAAATAAAATAAATACCTGCCCAGACGGAAAACGTCCAATACAGGGGCAGTGGTGGGATGGCGGTTAAGGCTATGGGTTACTGATCGGAAGGTCAGGAGCAAGGCCCTTAACCCTCTCTGCTCCAGGGGGCGCTGTATCATGGCTGACCCTGTGCTCTGACCCCAACTTCCTGACAGGCTGGGGTATGTGAAGAAAAGAATTTCACTGTACTCTACTGTATATGTGACCAATAAATCATTTAATACCATCAGGGGCAGTGAATATAGCATGTCCAAACTCATAAAGTGACCATATGACCGTGTTTCCTCTCTCCTAGTCCACACTGATTCAGAGTGACAGGAAACCCTTGCGGTTATCCGGTGTTTACTTAGCAGCTGCGCAGACTTCCTGGAGCAGTCTGTCTTTATGGAATACCAATAAAAAGGAGAAAACAATACTCGTTGAGTGGCATGTCATGGTAACTCAAGTGTCCGACATGGTAATGATGTCCATCATAGTGGGCTAGTCCATGTTTAGACGGCTAACCTTTCTATCTCTTTCCTCCAAGATGGACAAACAGTTGGTCTAGTACATGTACTGCCATAGGTTGCATAGGAATACTCGACCTCTTCCTTGACATCTTCCTTCCTACATGTTTCAACTCCAACCAAAATCTAATACCCCTATTTCAGTCGAGTAAGATGTTCTTAAGGCAGTGATTAGATGGTCAGGTGGGCACGATTATGGTTGGAGATAAAGTCTTCAGGAAGGTAGATCTCCAGGAACAGAGCTGGTGAGCCTTGCTTTATAGGTTCACGTTCAGTGAATGTTGGGAAGACTGGTGAACGAGATTGAGAGAGGCTTTGAGCAGAAACACACACTCCGCACTCCGAAATCACACACACTTCAACTAATGGCCACCAACACGTGCTCGACTAGCTTATCGCCAAGGCATGCAGTTCTCCTACTCTTTATTGCTGAAGTTATCATTAGCAAAAAGTCTGGCTTTGGAAAATCCTAGTGTTGGGTCCGAGGTCACCTTTGTTCGAGTTCGAGTCGAGGCCAAGCCTTAACCAGTCGAGTCCGAGTCCAAAAGGGCCAAGTGCCAACTTTTTTTCATTATAATTTCCTAAAATGAATAAAATCATCCCTCTCAGCAGGGTTTACGATATTTATTACTTTTCACATTTGACGTGAAATTCAAGACTGGAATCAGCAGATGCTAATGTTTAGGGGGCGATACCACTACGATCTTATTTGACGATAATGATCCGTTTTCTCAGGTAGGTCTATCAGCAGTATCCAAGCAAGAAATACTATGGAAATTGAATAAAGCAATTCAATGTCCAATAAAATAGAGGTCACTGCTGTCACTTTAAGAGCTAATGCCCAGATCCAATATACTGTACTGACACACCTCCGGTTTTACATTCACTTAAAGACACAACCGGCTGTGTTCGCATGAATACGTGGCCAGACCTGCATTTTGACATGATGTGTGTGTATTAATTTGCCCGAATTTGCTCATTTCGGTACTCGGACGATGAGGTGCCATGTGTGCACACAGATCAGTCATTTCTTGTTATCTTAATTTTATGCTGTCGTTTATTTTATATAGTCCAACTTTTCCGAGTCCATGTCGAGTTCCAGTACAAATTTACCCGAGTGTGTAACAAGTCTGAGTTCGTTCATAATTGGACTTGAGTCAGAGTTCGGGATAGAGTACCCGAACTCTAGAAAATCCCATTGAGGAGACGTCATGGAGGATTACTCGGACACACTAGCGGTACACATTCACAGGTCTGAAGGTGAGCATGGAAAGATATCTTTTATAGCAAATACTCATATGGTCAGGGCGCATGGTGGTTTAGGGGTTAGCACGTTTGCCTCACACCTCCAGGGTCGGGGGTTTGACTCCCACCATGCTGCGGGGGTTTCCTCCGGGTACTCCGGTTTCCTCCCCCAGTCCAAACACATGCATGGTAGACTGATTGGCGTGTCTAAAGTGTCCGTAGTGTATGAATGGGTGTGTGAGTGTGTATGTGTTTGTGCCCTGTGATTGATTGACACCCTATCCAGGGTGTACCCCTCCTTGTTCCCGATGCTCCCTGGGATAGACTCCAGGTTCCCCGCGACCCTGAAAAGGATAAAGCGGTATAGAAGATGGATAGACTCATATGGTCACTTTGGGACTTTATTGGTAAAATAGTTTATGTTTTTGCCCAAAGGATTAATGAAATACCAAACCAAGAAACTTCTCAGTCTATTGACCTTCTCAGTGTTTTGTATTATTGTGCTTCCTGTGAGTGTATCATCTGTAACGTATTTACAACTGCACCTGAAGACCTGTCAGTGTATTCAAAAAAAACTGACAGAACCAAGCTCCAGTTTCTCGTTCTCTTGTCTAAGTGACACCGAGTGAAAAGTCAGCTGCTTTCTTGCACACCACTGACTTATAGTCTGTTCTGTAAGCGGGTCAAGGTGTATTTACAGGGGATTATATCAGCTAATCGGTGGATTACAGCATGTTGACTCCACACAAGGCCATAAGTCTGATGGGGGGAAAAAAAGGTGGCATTTTGGCCTGCAGGATTTTTATTTATTTATTTATTACCCCCTTAATCCCTTCTCAACTCCCTCATGCACACATCTGGCCCTGCATGACATACAGATGTAATCCTGCATTTTGGTACCATTTTATTATGCTTCATTAATACTATGTTGGATTTTAATTATGAAAATGCAGCTTTCTTCTTGACCTCAAAAGTAATTATGAACTCTGGTAGGATTAGCTCTGTGTGCGTGTGTGTGTGTGTGTGTGTGTGTTATGTTTGTACTTGGAGAGCAAGTATGTTTAAGAACGTTAATTTTGACTATCAAACATATTTATATTATTAATAATAATAATAATATGTATTTATCATGTATTATTATTATTATTATTAATAATAATAATAATAATAATAATAATAATAATATAAACTTTATTTTATTTGATCACCTTTAAAAGCAGCTTCTCAAAGCGCTGTAGACAAAATAAGCAGGACACAGAAATAAATAAAAATAATAAAATAACAACAACAATAATAATAAATATTGTATTTTATATTCTTTCTGTTTTAATGATATGTATATGATATTTTTCCAATGCTTCAATACTGACAATGCTGCGTTCATATCCCGCTTCTAAACTGATTTTCGATGCTACTTTACCCAAGACACCACCACATGACTGTACTCTGTGTATGAAAGCAACATATGAAACCATCCTCTAGTGTGTAGTGAAGCTAGCAAGACACTGTAGAGCATTAGAGCTGTGCTAAGTGTCATTTTGTGTCCCAGTGTAGGTAGACTCATCCTAAACCTCCAGCTCAAAAAGCTCTACGCCCCTAGTGGTATTTGTGGGTTAATGCGTCACTATGACAGATGTCAGAAAGCATCTGGTAAAAAAAAAACCCCCATCTGATTAACAGAAAAAGGGCACTTTTAAAAATCCAGATTATGGACGCACTTTCATTTATTAAACACTGCTAATCCCAGCACTCTGCACTAGCACAGGATTCAAATCAGGTAAACTCCATTGTCTGCCTAAACGATCCATGCTGTAAACCCCTGAACACCATGTCCCTGTGGTGACACTGTTATCTAGAGGGGTTAGCGGTTTGTATTAGAGAGCTTAAACACATGCTAGTCTTTCTGTGTCTGCTTCAACCGACACTGCTTTTAAAAAGCCTGAATGATTGGATTTAGGTGGCTTTTGGAATTTAGACAGCCAGAGGCCCAGGAATAGAGAACGAACGTGTGTTTACAAAAGCCCATGTGGCCATATGCAGCAGATCACAAAAGGGAACAGCTGTTTGCCATCAGCCGAGGCAGCGTAGGATGGCATCGCTGCACGCTAACTAACTGTGGGGGCTGCTGAGTAACAGCTGGCATCATCAGGCTCCTCATACAAATGATAGCTGAAAGAAATGAGAGAAAATGGCTAAAAGATGCAGGATGAAATATTTTCCAATGTGCCTAGCTAATCTTTCTCATCTCTACGTGCTATGGTTGGAGTGTAGGCTTGTAGAGAATCGCCATGTTCATTAAACAACACGCTGGCATAAATAGGCATTTTTGGTCACGGTCTGTCAATGACCATTGCTAAGGTGAGTTAACCTCCGGTTATGAGGGCTGAAATCCCTCCCGCCTCCGCCCTGTGTGTGTGGAGCTCGCCATTCTCCTCCTGCTTCAGGCATTTCCTCCCATAGTCCAAAGACATGCAGTGTAGGTTGACTGGCATTTCCGAATTGCACATAGTGTGTGATTGGGTGTGTGAGTGTGTGTGCACTTGTGCCGTGTGATGTATTAGGCACCCCGTCCAGGGTGTTCCCTGGTTTGTTCCCTGGGATAGGCTCCAAGTTCCGCCGTGACTCTGTGTAGGATAAGCAGTGTAGAAAACGGATAGATGGATACTAGATACTTTAATTGTCTTTGTGCACATACCTAGAAAATGTCTCCTTCCAGAAATCCTGAAATGGATGATTTGGAAGAATACAGTGCCTTGCGAAAGTATTCGGCCCCCTTGAACTTTTCAACCTTTTGCCACATTTCAGGCTTCAAACATAAAGATATAAATATATATATATATATATATATAGTATCAGACAACTGCAAATTTCTCAACGTTTGGTGTGACGTTTGGTGTGTCTCCCAGGTGGCTTGTGGCAAACTTTAGACGAGACTTTTTATGGATATCTTTGAGAAATGGCTTTCTTCTTGCCACTCTTCCATAAAGGCCAGATTTGTGCAGTGTACGACTGATTGTTGTCCTATGGACAGACTCTCCCACCTCAGCTGTAGTTCTCTGCAGTTCATCCAGAGTGATCATGGGCCTCTTGGCTGCATCTCTGATCAGTCTTCTCCTTGTCTGAGCTGAAAGTTTAGAGGGACGGCCAGGTCTTGGTAGATTTGCAGTGGTCTGATACTCCTTCCATTTCAAAATGATCGCTTGCACAGTGCTGCTTGGGATGTTTAAAGCTTGGGAAATCTTTTTGTATCCAAATCCGGCTTTAAACTTCTCCACAACAGTATTACGGACCTGCCTGGTGTGTTCCTTGGTCTTCATGATGCTCTCTGCGCTTTCAACAGAACCCTGAGACTATCACAGAGCAGGTGCATTTATACAGAGACTTGATTACACACAGGTGGATTCTATTTATCACCATCAGTCATTTAGGACAACATTGGATCATTCAGAGATCCTCGCTGAACTTCTGGAGTGAGTTTGCTGCACTGAAAGTAAAGGGGGCCGAATAATTTTGCACGCCCCACTTTTCAGTTTTTTATTTGCTAAAAAAGTTTCAAATATCCAATAGATTTCGTTCCACTTCACAATTGTGTCCCACTTGTTGGTGATTCTTCACAAAAAATAAAAATTTTATATCTTTATGTTTGAAGCCTGAAATGTGGCAAAAGTTTGAAAAGTTCAAGGGGGCCGAATACTTTCGCAAGGCACTGTAACTCAGTTAGTGCCTTCAGTGAGAGCCCGGAAGAAGGAAGAAGAAAATAGCCAATCAACATTTCTGCACTTTATATCACTCTGTTTTGGCACTTTGTTATGCCATAGTGTTGTAATTGTAGTACTTTAATAATAAATTAAGGATCCCATCATAGGACGCACGGTGGCTTAGTGGTTAGCATGTTCACCTCACACAGGGTCGGGGGCTCGATTCCCACCGTGTCCCTGTGTGTGCGGAGTTTGCATGTTCTCCCCGTGCTGCGGGGGTTTCCTCCGGGTACTCTGGTTTCCTCCCCCAGTCCAAAGACATGCATGGTAGACTGATTGGCGTGTCTAAAGTTGTCCGTAGTGTATGAATGGGTGTGTGAGTGTGTATGTGATTGTGCCCTGCGATGGACTGGCACCCTGTCCAGGGTGTACCCCACCTTGTGCCCCATGCTTCCTGGGATAGGCTCCAGGTTCCCCGTGACCCTGAAGAAGGAATAAGCGGTTGAAGATGGATGGATGGATGGATGGATGGATGGATGGATGGATGTTCATGGATGGATCCCATCATCATCTAGAACCTGCTAGAAATTCGAGTTTCTAGATGGAAGAGTAACGTATATCGTGGATGATGTGTGCAAATATTCGATAGCAGGTGTCACTCTGAGATCCTACAACGGTTTAAACAACTGCTCCGAAGCAAAGTAGTAGAGATATAGGACAAGCTGGGAATCTGTTCGTTGTCATCAGTGAATAGATGTAGAGCAGGGTTTAAAATGTAGAGCAGGGTTTTTCATCCCCTAAAACATATGTCCTGCTGCAATTACTTACCATACGTAGTACTATGAAAAATTACGTGAGCATAAGGAACAATTTATTAACATAACTCACAAGATTACTGTAATTGTATCAGCACATAAGAGGCTTAATGGCGTTTCTATATGGTGTGTTTTAAAGGGGTTAAAATGTGTTCCTTAATTAAATGAAAAGCCATTTGAGAGGCTACAATGCAAGATAATGCATTTGGGTGATTTGAGGACAATCTCTGTCCCTTTGATAATACATCATTTACAAATACACAAAGCCAGATGCTGAATCAATTTCTGCATATTCTTTGTCAGTAGCAACATTCAATATTTGACATGATATTTTCTTTTATATATGTATATATATATATCCTTTCAAAAGTTGCAAACACCGTAAAATGGCCTAGCCCTGCGTTTTACACTAAACAGTTTTATACTAAAATGAATTCATGTTTAAAAAGTGAAAATGCTACTAAAATTGTACATTTTAATAAACGAGTAAAAACCATATTTTAGTGTGTAAATAGTGACGAAAACATTTCATCCTGAACTTCCTGTCCCTGTTATAATGGGGGGAAAAAAACTGCAGTCAGTGGTAATCTGTTATTTAAGTCACATGACTTTAAGGAGGCG